TCACTGCGGACACACTTATCTAAGTTACTGCAGCCTATAGCTCTCTCACGACTTCCTGATCACGTTGCACGAACGGTGATCTCGCTTGAACTAAGGAACGTGCCCTAAAAATCCATGTGTCTTTGAACAGTACATTTGCTTCGTGGAGGACGCGTACACCGAGATGAAGACGTTTTCGCGTCATTTGAACACTCCATACAACACTCGAAAAAGCAATCATGGTAATTTGAATTTCGTATCATGCGTTTACACGTGATGGAAATACAATGCAAACGTCGTGCGATAGAGCACAACGCGTCGAGTGGTAACAAGCGTGCAGTAATAACCACATGCTTTATGACATACTAGCTTAATTTTGTTTAAAAACATTGGCTTTGCAGCTATATATCAGAAGCGGTAGCTTTCACTTCAAACAAAGGGAGATGTATTAGGAAATATAGTAAAGGCTGCAGGGGTGCAGAAAAAAAAAACGTTCGTGAATTCATGATGTGCGTTATCATATCACAAGCATCGCCGTGCGTGGGAGGGTGAAGGCGAATGTGGCACAAAGTCTAACCATTTTTATCGACCTTATAGTAAGGGGGACACTGTGATGGATCTACCTTCACTGTCCCTTTAACCCCACCCTATTATTAAGGGAACTCTATAGGCTTGCCTGTGATCACCAGTCAAAGGCAAACGTCACCTAAAACACTTCACAAACTGTTCCAGAGAGTTTGCTTAAATATAAATAAGTTATGGTCAATTTTACTGACAGATATATAGGACAAGCATAGAGGATACTGCATTTGCGAATGACGTGGTTATAACGCGTGTTTAAAGTATTTGTAGCAACACGAATAACACTTTTTAGACGAGAACTAGATACCGAAACTGAGTGGGTTTTGGCGCCTCAATCGGCGTGACCCTGCATTTTTTTTTTACTTTGACATGGCGGCATTAAGAAATATGTAATAATTTCGAGGGGCAGTTTTCTTCGTGTCATTGGTAGGTGTTCTGGGCTTTTACTGCCCTGCATCGCGTTGCGTGCTGAGTGTTGCAGTTACTGGCGTAAGCACAAATTCTTCGCTGAGTGTGATTAACGGTGCCAGCAACTAGTCGTCAAATACTGACTGTGTGACACCGTCCTCTGCGGCTCCTTTGTTCAGTGTCATTGACGGACGTGAAATGTGTTCCCTTGAAATATCGCCGCACATCAATGACAGCGTTCTTCAAAGCCACGCTGCCATCGAGCCGCCTCACGCATCAGTGAGT